TGTGGTGTCTCTAGAACTCTCCCTTGCTTTCATTTCTATATGATACACTTTTTAAAAGAGCATCACAATTTGGCAAACCCCTCACTGGTCAAAAAGCAGTGATAGAAAAATGCTCATGGAAAATGTTCATTTCCAGAACAAAAGAGAAAGTGATTTTGACAATACTGGAAGGTTAATTAAGAAGTCTATTAGTGGTGGTATTGCTGACACATTTCAGTTTAGATCGACATGACTCAAGGTGTAGGCATAGCCCATGTTTGCTCTATAAGACTGAGAAATCACAGAATCTGAGAGAGGGGAGCTGATATCTATCGTAAACAGTGGGTCAAGAACTCAAAGGACCTTCCATGGATTTGATTTTGGTTAAAGAAGCCTCTAGCTCAGATTGCCGTGTTTCCCCCCAAAATAAGACATCCTCCGAAAATAAGACCTAGTGCATGGAAAGATAAGACATCCCCTGAAAATAAGACCTAGTGTGACTTTGGGAGAAAAAATTAATATAAGACATTGTCTTATTTTGGGGGAAACAGGGTAGCTGCACTGCTGTTATTTTTGTGACTTGGATCTGGTAATATTGAATAAACTGGAATTGTTTTTTTCAGGGAACTTTGCACCCTTCCAGGATGCATTTTAAGTGTAGTCTACAAGTTGGCTGCTGGCTGGGTGGGGAGGGGATTTGAGAATCTTGGAGCTGGAAGGGACCATAAGTGTCCTCACCAATAGAGAGATCCCTCCGTATGATGGTGGGTTGTCATCCTTCCTCTTCTTGAATACCCAACGTGGGAAGTAGGTCATAGTTTCAGAAGGTAGCCATTCCTCTTGGGGACAGCTTGACTTCTTTTGTGCCCTGTCTCATTGGAAAAACAGGGATGTTATCTAAAAATATATGTTTGCTATATATATATATATATATATATATATATATATATATATATATATATATATATATATATATTTTCAGCCATAAGGAAACATTGCAGCGTAACAATGCATATCTGGGGCCCCAAGTGGAGATGATGGGTCTGGAAAGACCTTTATGAAACAGAACAAGTTAAGACACCTTTCACCAGAGGAATCAGGGCATTTAAAAGGTTGATTCAGAAAAGGATCCCATGTCGCCTTTGAGTATCCAGAAAGGGAAGCAGGAGTCCAGTTCTAGCACCAGCCATACAGGGTGCCACAGCTGCATCCCCGACATTTTCAGCTTGTATGGGAGCAGTGAGGACACCACCGGCCTGACCTGAGCTGGTTTGGATGTTGTGTTGAAGAGGCCGGGCCTGTTTCCTATCCTGGTCACTGAGGGAGAGGCGAGCCTTGGGTTCCACATGGAGAGAGCCTTAGGGATTTCCCAAGCTTGCTCTCCTTCTGACTATCCCAGACCTAAAGGAGGAGGTTCCCAGATAGAAGGGGAACATCAGACCAGGGGAACATCAGAGCTTCCAGCCTCCGTGCCTTCCCTGCCTGAAAGTGGCACTTGTTAAACTGGACTGTGCAGCTGAGTCACTTGTTGAATGCAGATTGCTGCCCCCCCCCCCCAACCTTGAACCCTGTTTCTGATTCAGTAGGTCTGAGTGGCCTGAGAATGTGCATTTCCAACACATTCCAGGCGATGCTGGGCCTGGGCCTGGGCTTTCGCTGTGAGAACCTGTGCCCTAAGATACCGCCCAGGACCAGCATCACCTGGAATGTGTTGGAAATGCACATTCTCAGGCCACTCAGACCTACTGAATCAGAAACAGGGTTCAGCACAGCTGCACCACCCCCTTCCCAGCCAGTCACTGAGCCCGGCTCTCCCCGGGGAGACTCGCTGCGGAGAATGAAAGTGCAGGTGGGAGAAGGAGGTCTCCGGCCATGGGTGGCCTGGGAAGGCAGAGCTGCGCACTGAGTCTGATGCTCAGAAGCATTAAAATATACGTTTCTAACGTGAGACGTCGCTTTGCCTAACCTGTGATGACACAATTGAAAGCATCATAGCAAGAAGTTAACCCCTGGGGAAGCCATTAACAGTTTAGCATTTGCAGTTCCTGTGGGAACGTCGATTCTACTTGCAAGGGGAGTGCTGCGGCCGTGTCCAGCGGGAGCGGTGGCCGTCAGCATCGACACTCTTCCTGGAGGAAGAGGAACTCAAGGATGAGTCTGTCTGATAAAGGCAATGGCGATGGCTTGTCCGGCCGCTAGGAATGGTTTGTTCCTCTTCGCTGGCTAGTTCTGTAGGGGAACAGGGGCAGAGGGTGAGGACAGTGGGGTGTGCCAAGCGTCGCAGGAGGCAGATCAGGTGCTGTTTTCCAATTTTGAAACCAAGTCAGTACCCTTGGACCTTCTGAAAGGCCCACTCCACACCTCTGGGCTGGACTCTCCCCCAAGAGGTTAAAAGAGTTTGTTTCTCCTATTGGGGTTGGGAGAAGGAGAGTCCTCCTCGTGGCACTTCTTGGCCAGTGAAGACCAGGGCAGGACCGGCGGAGGGGAGGCGGTAGATGGAAAGAGCAATGGACATGGGGTCGGAAGGTTAATTCTGATCTTCACTTTGTGCCTAACCACCAATATAGCCGCAGGCCAGTCATTTAATTTCTTAAAACTGTAATTTCCCCATTTGTGAAAATGAAGGCATAGAGTCCTGGCAGGGTGGCTCGGTGGTTGGTACCATCCCCCTCATGCACCAAAAGCTTGTAGGTTCTATTCCTGGTCAGGCTGTGTATGGGAGGCAACCCATTGATGTTCCTCTCTCACATTGATGTTTCTCTCTTTCCCTTTTAATCTCTCTAAAAACCAATAAAGAAATACATCTTTGGGTGAGGATTTAAAAAAAAAAAAAAAAAAAGGCATAGATCAACAAATCTTTTAGTGTTTTTACAACTCAAAAAAACCAACAATAACAACAACAAAAAAACCAACCCCCAAAACCAAGGGGCCTGTAGGAAGGGGACATATGTGATACTTTTCAACAATAAAGATTTTAAAAAAACAAAAACAAAAACCAAACCAAACCATGGTACCAGAAACTCCGCACTCCCCTGGGTTAGCTCTCCTGGCACCACGTGGCCTGGTGCTGCGGAGAACTGGCCAGGCTGCTTCCCTGAAGCTCAGCATGCTCAGGGCCTCCAGGGCTGTGGACAGGTCTGCCAACCAGAGACACATGCAGGTGGCCAAGCCTGGATCAGGTGAACCGTTCTCCCCTTTCTTGCTGGAGGCCATTGGAGGCACCCAAGGGTCTCTTCCCAGAGTGAGTGGCAGGGAATTTGAAACTGGACTCTGCTTGTCTAACTTCCTTACAAGGTCCAAGTACCTTGTTGCTTTTTATGCTGAGGGTCACAGAGGCACCCACCCCCGTTGTGTGGGTCACCTGAGAAGAGGGTTTTAGTCCCAGCGACAAACACTTATTAAAGAGCTGAGGCAAACACGAGGGCAAAAAATGAATTCTCAGATTTCTCGTCGAAAAACGCTACGACGAAATCCGTAGGTAATTCTACCCCGTCCTCTCAATTCATTGAACATAAGTGGTCAGATGAAGACATACCTATGTTGAGTTCCTCCTTTCGTTGAATCATTCCGTGGGGTTTGCTTTGCGTGGGGTCAGGGAGGAGGACGTGCCCCTATAGCTGCTCGTGGGCTTGGTGGAGGCTCCCTCGGAGCCTCTCTCTTTGCAGTTCTGGTGGCAACAGATTGGTGCCGTCCGTCCGTGGAAGAGCTTCCAGGAGCCCCATGCCATTGTGACCCACTGGGTCCTCGTGAGAGGAAACCTTGTGCCGACTGCCCTGGCTGTTATTGGTAACATGATCTATGGAAGGAGAGCAGGATGTATTTTACACTGGAGGCCTGCTGTCCTAGAGTATAACAACAACACTTTTAAGTGCTCTTAATATTAAGCTAATGGAAAACATACTCTGTTTACTCACCATCAAAGTCTGTTTTTCTTCTCTCTGGCCTCCCCCAGTCATCACACACGGCAAACCTCTCCTGCTCCATTTGTCCTCCACCCCGCCTCAAGGCTCACCTCCGCATGCGTGGTTAGCTCAAGGTGGACTTGGAAAAGCTAGGCACTCCCCATATACACCATATAATCCCCAGGTTGCACAAACCAAGTATTTCCTTGCTCACAAAAGTTTCATTGCTAGAAATGCTTGATAGACTGCCAGGTTTATATTTATTAGCGTGAGAAGTCTTTTTTTTTTTTTTTTTTCCTCGCCAGAGTGCAACAAAGTGCAGTGGGATGGAGAAGGTGGGTCACCTTTCCCGGTGCCGCTGTAGCGGGAGGGTCACTTCACGGGAGGGTTCCTTGGGCTCACGGTGAGAATGCGCCCAAGTTATTTTAATCCCTAAAGTCTAATCTCAATTCTCCACTGTTTTGTGTCTATATGGGGTACTCCACTGACGGAAGTCCTGGCGTGTGGCTCAACCACGTCCTGAAGTGCCTCAGCTTTCCCTGTCAGCCACAGTGCTGTCACAAACACAGCTTGGGACAAGGGGCATTGGGACAGGGAAGGCAGAGTGGGACTCTGTCTGGAAGGAATGATTCACAAACCCACTCATTTCCTATCAGCATATTGTGTTTTTTTCCTTGGGCTTGTCTATAAAGTAAATGTATGCACGTAAGCCAGCCTTGCAGATAAATCCCCTCTTTTACCAGTCTACCCATACATTACCAATTTCCCGTTGGTATTTGTGTACATCTTATTACAAAACAATCATCAAGTAATAACCAACAAATAAATAAATGAAAGAACCACCCCAATACAAAAAAGAAAACAACAATAACAACAACAAAAACCCACAACCCACCCTCAGAAACCTCTTGCCTTTTGTCAAAAAGACCAAGATTAAAAATTAAACCAAACGGTGAGAAATAACTTTTCGCTGTGTTTTGATACAGGCGTTGGTCCTGCTAACTATCTGCAAAGCTGTTGTTATGAGGTTGGTCTATTTTACTGGGGTGGAAATGGGATGTTGTGTGGGTTTTCAATGCACCTATAGCGTCAGCGCCTGATTCTGGGTTTCTTCCACAGATAAACTTCTGCACTGGAGGGGCCTCTCCTCCCCGCGTTCTGCACACGGAGCTCTGATCCCCACGCCCGGGATGGGTGCGGAATATGGCCCGCAGGGTATTTGTAAGTTGAGCATTCTTTCTTCTACAAAATGTCCATGGGTATAGAGATGAGAGTTTCTGGAAATTACCCTTAACTTTTTATGCACTGAAAGGAGTTACTTCCAAAATAGATTGGCATCCGCACATGTATTATTCCATTACTCACTTGGCACCCAGTCCCCCACTCCCTCCACTCAGTTTTTCCCTCCCCTTTTTTCTTTCCTTCCACACCGAGGGCACGGAGCTGACTGCAGCGCGTCCCTGTGGATCTCCTCCCCAGGGCCCTGTCTGGCTCCATGGCTGGTGACTGCAAATGTCTGTGTGGTCAGAGCCCTTTTTACTGCTGGATATTCACTCCCATGGCCTCGTTTAAGACTGGATTATTCCGTGGCATACATTTTTAGCAGAGGCCGGAACCAAAGGGAGTCAGTTTAGAGTTACTCCCAAGTTATTCTCATGCATGTTACATATGCATTTACATGTGTATTTAAACATGGTGTATTTTTATATATACGTGGTGCATTATATATGTGCATACATATGTGATTTCTACTTGTTTTTTTTTTTCTAGTTTTAAGGGAAAATGCACAGCATTGTTGCCAAAATTCAAAGATACCACCACCACTACCACCACCACCACCATCACCACCACCATAGCTACTACTACCACCACCACCACCACAACCACCAACCACTACTTGTTCAAGCCAAATTTTATAGTGGACAACTTCCTATGAAATTTAGATTTATATGTTCATAAAAATGTTTTTTTTTAAAAGGTATTGTTTTAGAAAGTAATACAGTTTTCTTCTCTGTGTAGGAATAAATGGTATGAATCATACATGGCTAAAAAGTTAGAGGAGGTAGGGGGAAGGCTGATTTCACCCCAGACACACACAAAAAATCAGGTTCAAGATAAAAAGAAGTGTGCTATCTAACTTTTATTTAAGGAAAGCATTTTCATTTTGAAAGTAAATGAAAACTAGCCTGTTGTGGAAAAGAAAAAAGAAAGGGAAAGTGTCATGGAAGAGAATACGGAAGAGCAAGAAGCAGGAGTAGAAGCTGTACAGGGGGCTGGTTTTCAGATGGGAGGGGAACTAGACCTGGGAAGGTGTCTGCAGGGCATGGCATGCACCCTGGGACCAAATTCAAAGCCAGCTGTTTATTTTGGTTAACTCCTAGGTAATCCTAGGTAACAAAGAGTCATTGTGTGAATTTCACAAGCCCTTGGGTCCTGAGGGCTGGGTGGTGCAGGGGTTAAAAGCACCCTCCCCCGACATACACACACACCAAGCTGGGCCTAAGCCTGGTTAGGTCACAGATTGAAGAGCTTAGGGGGTTGGACTCATGGTTTCGAGTCCCTACATGCTGACTGGGTGCTGGGTGGGGAGAGCTCTCCTTGTTTGGCTGTGGGTGCTTGGGGCCCCACACTTGGCTGTGGGAACAGAGCCACCTTGGAAGGAAGGGGAAGGAAGGGAAGTGGGGCAGCAGAGAGGAGGGTGGAGCTGAGTAGCCAAGGGCTGTTGGCCTTGGAATCTGTTTAGTCCTCTCTCTTCCACTTGATCCTCCCAAAGGCAGGGAGTCTGATTTGAGGATGGGAAACTAGGAGCCTGATAGGGAACCCCCAGGTCCTCCTTGCTTGTTGCAAAGGGAGGGTGCCTAAGTTGCTGGTTCTCATGCTGGCAGGACCAGTTTAGGAGTGACCAGAGCAAGGTATGTGGAAATGGGTTGTGGGGTTCCAGAAAGCTCTAGCGCCATGCGGATCCCGACCCCACTCAGCTGCCTGAGCCAGGCTTTCAGAGCACTGAGCACTTGTGGCCTCTCTGTTGGTGGGCACAGTCCCACGCCTTAAAACAGCCCTCTCCTGCTCTCCTCTAACCTGGCCCCCACCTTGGCCTGGGGTAAGACCTGGGTTCTGGATTCTAGATTCAGACTTTTCCCTGGACGTGCTTCTGGGTGTATGATGTAGTTAGTCATCATGTGAGGTAACCAGTCAAGCCTGGTGGTAATGAAGACTCACATTCAAAGTCATTCATGTTGGACCTGATAGTTCACAGAGGGCTTTTATGCCCGTCTGTCATTTGAGCCTCACAGTTCTTTAAGGTACTATTTTTACGTTCATTTTACAGATAGGAAACCCAAGGCTGTCCCAGAGCCGGGATCTAGTGGACAGCAGGCCAGGGGCCAACTCTCTTGTTCATCTAAATCCTGAGGCTTTGATCATGTGACTTTTTAATCACCTGACAATCTAGAAATGGGGTCATTTCTTCCCACTCAATAAAAAGAAATAAAATAAAAGCCAGTAGGTGAGCTCATCGCTCATTTTAACCATTTTGATGCCCTGAGTTCTTGTGTGTGTGTGTGTGTGTGTGTGTGTAAGCGGGGGAAGGGGGAGACCAGGTCTCAGTTTATTGCTCTAAATCAAAACAATCCCTGGGATTGCCCAATGAGGCTCTCAAATTGAGAAGTTGATTTTCATCAGAGTAAATGAAGAATATTATTATATTTTACAAGTCAATAAATCAATGTAGCCCTAATTTTTGCCACGCAGGAAATCAATTCTGGTCTTTCTAAACCATCAAAGATGTTATGAACAAAGTAATTTCACAAATTATGGCGAGTAACACATTTATTGATGACTGCAGTTTAGGAATTTAGAATCTGTGAGCACTGTAATATAATATGGTGCGCGGGCATGAGCCGAGTGAAATACAGATTATATGGGGAAGCCGTAATGCATCATTTGCTATTAGTGGACTGGTAATAATTACCAGTTTCAAAGCAGCTCTTTTCATGTAATCTTTAGTCTCAATCGTAACAGCCCTTCTCATTGACATTATGATTACACTAGCTGCCCTCGTGATCTAGAATAGCTAGTTGATGGGAATACTAAAATGCAGTAGTGAAAACGGTATGTTGTGTGCTCATTAGAAGATAAAATGCCATTTTCTCTGACCTGATGTAAGGGAGAGAGGGGAAGGTAACGGCACACATGTTAACGTGATCACAAATGCTGGCTCTGAAAACTAAATTTTAGGACGCTCAGGGCAGCAAAATAAAAGGGGCTTTTCTCAGGTAAGCCTTTTTGATAGGATACAGAGATGCTCCTTGAAGATCTATAGAGATCTTGGCGCTTATCAGTGGCCACATCCATGGTGCAGGAGTCCAAGTGCTGGTTTTCTATAGAATATTATAAGGTAAAATATGGTTTTAAGGCATGTGGAGTGATGAAAGTGTTAAGGACTTGCTTCCGCTCACAAGTCCTCTGTTTTACTTACCCAACTCAGATTGTCAGGCTAAATGTATGATAATAACACGGAGTCCTAGAGAGGCAAAGGAGAAAGCCACAGAGGGTCAGCGTAGTTGGAACCAGGATCGTTTTTTCCCCCTATCTGTTTAGGACTCAAGTAAAAAAAAAAATTATGAAAATACTCTCAATGATGCTTTTTATTTCCCTTTGAAGAGAGGAGGCAAACAAAAATAGGCAGATAATGTGATACTAATGTCAGCGTTTTCTTTCAGAATCTCTCTGCCTTTTTTTTTTCTCCCTCCACATTAGGCAAATGTTTCAAACCTAATTTTGGTATCTTATCATCTAATCTTGTTAAAGAGATTTGCCCAGGAGTGGGGTATATTGAGTGAGATTATAAATGCATTGTAAAGTGAATTGCAAGGTCAGGGCAGGGAGTCCATTACTCAGACAAGTGCCTGCGCGAGGCTGGCTTGTTTTGGAGGAGGAGTGTTTGGGGCTTCGGAGAAGGCCCTGCCAGCTTTCCTTCCTGACTTGCTAAATGGAGGAATCATATCTGATTAATTCCTCATTCCTACTCTAGCCCATGTAGGGATTTTTTTTCCTTATTAAGAAGTTACTAGTCAATGCTTTTTAGGAACCCCTTTGGCCCCTCTTCTCAGAGAAGGGCTAACACTTGTTATTTCTCATTTGTGTTTCATACACTGTCTCCTTGGGAATTCCTGGTGGGAAATTTCCCTTTTTCTCCTCCTGTCTTTGGCCCACCAACATCCGTGCCCTCTTTCATACTGCAGTTGACTGGTAAACTGTGAGTTACTCCCTTGGCGTGTCTGTGCTGTTGTTGTTGTTTTTAAATTTAGCTATCTCCCAAAATGAATGATCGTGAAGTCAAGCTGGCCCCCTCTTTGCCAAAGTGGCATTTACCACTCTCGGGTTCTTTTCAACGAGAGAGAAATAATGTGACTTAAGCAGGGCCCCTCTCCAGACTGCTTGGCTACTAGCCAAGGAGTTGACTAGCTGAACTGTGTCTTTCTGTTTCTTTCTCAACTGGAGCTGAGGCTCAGCCGAGGGCGCAGGATGTTGTATAATTTGGTTCACGTTGTTAGCCTCTCAAAATAATGAGGAGGAGGATAGTGTAGCATTTCTCAGCCTGCTGCTGGTCATGGTGCTGGCTGCCCTAGCTGTTATTAAGCTAGGATGCCGTGTCTGCATACGTTGGCACGAGCCTCTGCCCCTAACTTCTAGGCTTGCGTTTGTTTGGGGGACAACGCCTCAAGATGTGACACGGCCTTTTGTTTAAAACCGAATTAAACTTATATATTTTGAGAATTCTCACAACATCCCTTGAGATAAAAACGAGAGTCCTCCCGGGGCACCGAGGAATCAGAATTGGGACTCACTGACCCTCACCCAGGCTGGGATGTGAGAATGTTGCTAGTCTCTCTTCCATGGCATTATTTCTGAGAACCTTCTCATTAAAAAAATAAAATAAAATCAACAATCAGAGTGTTTCAGGCTAAGATTAAAAGCATCTCTGGGGCCACAGAGGATTGTAATGAGTTGACCTGCTCTTTTTTTTTTGATATCTCCATGAAATGATTGCCTGTTTAGAAAGTTTACCTGCCACCAGGGGGGCGGGCTGGATGGGGGGGAATTAGAATGATGGGATTCAGGGAGCAGAAAAGTTTCCCTTAGGTCATCTTGTCCAAGTGTCTCACTTAACAAATGAGAAAACAGGGGGGCAGGAGATGAAATGGCTTCCCCAAACCACAGCTGGTGACAGACTGGAAAGTTCAGAACATATTGCTAAGGTTCTCTAGGCTGTAGGGATTGTCCTTCTCAAGTTTGAATTGGTCTAGATTCTTTCTGCTTTGGAGACTGGATTTAAAATTCCTAGAACTGAGTTAAATGGCAGGAAGACTGATTCGGCAAGTATTTAGTGGGCACCAACCACCGGATACACCAGGCACTGTGTAGGCACAAGGGCATAAGTCAGGGAGGGCTCAGGCCTCGGCATTGGGAGCTGGGGGCAGGGAAGGCTGGAGGCGGAACATAAATAAGCAATTGCTGATACCCTCCTCGGTGATTAAACATTGATGTCGGTGTTGTATTATTTTGCAGGTAAAGATGAGCCCAGCAGCTACACATGTACAACTTGCAAACAGCCATTCACCAGTGCATGGTTTCTCTTGCAACACGCACAGAACACTCATGGATTAAGAATCTACTTAGAAAGCGAACACGGAAGTCCCCTGACCCCGCGGGTTGGTATCCCTTCAGGACTAGGTGCAGAATGTCCTTCCCAGCCACCTCTCCATGGGATCCATATTGCAGACAATAACCCCTTTAACCTGCTCAGAATACCGGGATCAGTATCCAGAGAGGCTTCCGGCCTGGCCGAAGGGCGCTTTCCACCCACTCCCCCCCTGTTTAGCCCACCACCGAGACATCACTTGGACCCCCACCGCATAGAGCGCCTGGGGGCGGAAGAGATGGCCCTGGCCACCCATCACCCGAGTGCCTTTGACAGGGTGCTGCGGTTGAACCCACTGGCTATGGAGCCCCCCGCCATGGATTTCTCTAGGAGACTTAGAGAGCTGGCAGGGAACACGTCTAGCCCGCCGCTGTCCCCGGGCCGGCCCAGCCCCATGCAGAGGTTACTGCAACCCTTCCAGCCAGGTAGCAAGCCGCCGCCCTTCCTGGCGACGCCCCCCCTCCCTCCTCTGCAGTCTGCCCCTCCTCCCTCCCAGCAGCCCCCGGTGGTCAAGTCCAAGTCGTGCGAGTTCTGCGGCAAGACGTTCAAGTTCCAGAGCAACCTGGTGGTGCACCGGCGCAGCCACACGGGCGAGAAGCCCTACAAGTGCAACCTGTGCGATCACGCGTGCACGCAGGCCAGCAAGCTGAAGCGCCACATGAAGACGCACATGCACAAGTCGTCCCCGATGACGGTCAAGTCGGACGACGGCCTCTCCACGGCCAGCTCCCCGGAGCCCGGCACCAGCGACCTGGTGGGCAGCGCGAGCAGCGCGCTCAAGTCCGTGGTGGCCAAGTTCAAGAGCGAGAGCGACCCGGGCGGCCTGATCCCCGAGAACGGGGACGAGGAGGATGACGAGGAAGAGGAGGAAGAGGAGGAAGAGGAGGAAGAGGAGGAGGAGGAGCTGGCCGAGGAGAGCGAGCGCGTGGACTACGGCGGCTTCGGGCTGAGCCTGGAGGCGGCGCGCCACCACGAGAACAGCTCGCGGGGCGCCGTGGTGGTGGGCGTGGGCGACGAGGCCCGCGGCCTGCCCGACGTGATGCAGGGCATGGTGCTGAGCTCCATGCAGCACTTCAGCGAGGCCTTCCACCAGGTCCTGGGCGAGAAGCATAAGCGCGGCCACCTGGCCGAGGCCGAGGGCCACAGGGACACGTGCGACGAAGACTCGGTGGCCGGCGAGTCGGACCGCCTGCTAGACGATGGCACTGTGAACGGCCGCGGCGGCTGCTCCCCGGGCGGCGAGCCGGCCTCCGGGGGGGCCCTGCTGTCCAAGAAGCTGCTGCTGGGCAGCCCCAGCTCCTCGCTGAGCCCCTTCTCCAAGCGCATCAAGCTCGAGAAGGAGTTCGACCTGCCCCCGGCCGCCGCGATGCCCAGCACGGAGAACGTGTACTCGCAGTGGCTGGCGGGCTACGCGGCCTCCCGGCAGCTCAAGGATCCCTTCCTCAGCTTCGGGGACTCCAGACAATCGCCTTTCGCCTCCTCGTCGGAGCACTCCTCGGAGAATGGGAGCTTGCGCTTCTCCACGCCGCCCGGGGAGCTGGACGGAGGGATCTCGGGGCGCAGCGGCACGGGAAGTGGAGGGAGCACGCCCCATATTAGTGGTCCGGGCCCGGGCAGGCCCAGCTCAAAAGAGGGCAGACGCAGCGACACTTGTGAGTACTGTGGGAAGGTCTTCAAGAACTGTAGCAATCTCACTGTCCACAGGAGAAGCCACACGGGCGAAAGGCCTTATAAGTGCGAGCTGTGCAACTATGCCTGCGCCCAGAGTAGCAAGCTCACCAGGCACATGAAAACGCATGGCCAGGTGGGGAAGGACGTTTACAAATGTGACATTTGTAAGATGCCTTTTAGCGTGTACAGTACCCTGGAGAAACACATGAAAAAATGGCACAGTGATCGAGTGTTGAATAATGATATAAAAACTGAATAGAGGTATATTAATACCCCCCACTCCCCCCTCACTCCCACGTGACACCTCCTTTTTTGCATCACCCCCTTCCCCATCGCCCCCCCTCCAGCCCCACTCCCGGTAGGATGTTTTTTTTTTCTTCCTCCTAGTCCCATGTGATTTAAACAAGCAAGCAAGCAAGCAAACAAACAGAAGTAACGGAAGCTAAGAATTATGAGAGTGCTTGTCACCAGCACACCTGTTTTTTTTTTCTTTTTCTTTTTTCTTTTTTTCTTCTTTTTTTTTTTTCTTTATGTTCTCACCGTTTGAATGCATGATCTGTATGGGGCAATACTATTGCATTTTACGCAAACTTTGAGCCTTTCTCTTGTGCAATAATTTACATGTTGTGTATGTTTTTTTTTTTTTTTAAACGTAGACAGCATGTATGGTATGTAATGGCTATTTTAAATTGTCCCCGATTCGTTGTTGAGCAAAAAATGTTGCTGTTTCCAGTTCCGTTCTGAGAGAAAAAGAGAGAAAGAGAGAGAGGGGAAAAAAAGACCATGCTGCATACATTCTGTAATACATATCATGTACAGTTTTATTTCATAATGTGAGGAGGGAAAACAGTCTTTGGATTAACCCTCTATAGACAGAATAGGTAGTGCTGAACGAAAATCTCTATGAGCTACATGTCTGTCTCTAAAGGGTTAAATGTATTAATTTGGAGAGGGAAAAAAAGGCCTTGAATTGACAAATTAACAGAAAAACAACAACAACAGCCCAAGTTTATTCTATCATTTGGTTTTAAAATATGAGTGCCTTGGATCTATTAAAACCACATTGATGGTTCTTTCTACTTGTAATAAACTTGTAGCTTAATTCCGCATTGGTGAGGTAATAAACCTTAGGACCTAACATATAATTCTTATATTTCTCACAACAATGGCTACCTAAAAATATGACCCACTATGTCCTAGTTAATCATCATTTTCCCTTTAGTTTAATCTTGTAAGCAAAACTGATTATACCAGTATAAAAGCTATTTTGCTCCTGGTGAGAGCTTAAAAGAAATGGGCTGTTTTGCCCAAAGGTTTTTTTTTTTTTTTTTTTTTTTTTTTGTAAATGATGATTACATCGAATGTGTAATGTGCAAAGCCCTGGAATATAATTAAATACACGAGTAAGGAATTCATTTCATGAAGATACTTGTTTTAAATAATATCTTTTAAAAGAATTCTGGCACCGGAAGAAATAGATCCAGATCCACTTGGTTGTCAAAAGGACAATCACACAATAAACTTCAAGACCTCGTAGACCATATTAAAAAAAGAGGCTGACCGTGAGGTTTGACCGAGGGTAACAGAGGAGGGGGAAAAAAGTGATTTATTAGCACAACGTGGTACTATTTGCCATTTTAAACTAGAACAGGTGTATAAGCTAATATTGATACAATGATGATTATCAATTCTTACGATGCATTGAAATGTGACATTCTTAAAAAAGAAGAGTTTTAAGAGTAGCAGTATATATGTCTGTGCTCCCTAAAAGTTGTACTTCATTTCTTTTCCATACACTGTGTGCTATTTGTGTTAACATGGAAGAGGATTCATGGTTTTTTATTTTATTTTGAAAATTTCTTTCTTTCTTTCTTTCTTTTTTTTTTTATTTTTTTATTTTTTTATTAAGCTAGCATCTGCCCCAGTTGGTGTTCAAATAGCACTTGACTCTGCCTGTAATATCTGTATCTTTTCTCTAATCAGAGATACAGAGGTTGAGTATAAAATAAACCTGCTCAGATAGGACAATTAAGTGCACTGTACAATTTTCCCAGTTTACAGGTCTATACTTAAGGGAAAAGTTACAAGAATGCTGAAAAAAAAAAAATTGAACACAATCTCATTGATGAGCATTTTTTTTTTAAAAACTAAAAAAAAAAAAAAAAAAGCCTTTGCCAGCCATTTACTTGACTAATGAGCTTACTTACTTGGACTCAACATTGCAAGCGCTGTGAATGGAAAACAGAATACACTTAACATAGAAATGAATGATTGCTTTCGCTTCTACAGTGCAAGGATTTTTTTGTACAAAACTTTTTAAAATATAAATGTTAAGAAAAAATTTTTTAAAAAACACTTCATTATGTTTAGGGGGGGACTGCATTTTAGGGTTCTATTGTCTTGGTGGTGTTACAAGACTTGTTATCCATTTAAAAATGGTAGTGGAAATTCTATGCCTTGGATACACACCGCTCTTCAGGTTGTAAAAAGAAAAAAAAAATACATTGGGGAAAGGTTTAAGATTATATAGTACTTAAATATAGGAAAATGCCCACTTATGTTGATTCCTATGCTAAAACACATTTATGGTCTTTTTCTGTATTTCTAGAATGGTATTTGAATTAAATGTTCATCTAGTGTTAGGCACTATAGTATTTATATTGAAGCTTGTATTTTTAACTGTTGCTTGGTCTCTTAAAAGGTATCAGTGTACCTTTTTTGGTAGTGGAAAAAAAAAAAAAAAAGACAGGCTGCCACAGTATATTTTTTTAATTTGGCAGGATAATATAGTACAAATTATTTGTATGCTTCAAAAAAAAAAAAGAAAAAAGAGAGAGAGAGAAAAACAAAAAAAGTGTGACATTGTACAAATGAGAAGCCATATAATGGCCATTTGGGGGAGCCTGCTAGAATGTCACACGGATGGCTGTCATAGGGGTTGTACATATCCTTTTTTGTTCCTTTTTTCCTGCTGCCATACTGTACGCAGTACTGCAAGCTGATAACGTTGGTTTGTTATGTAGTGTGCTTTTTGTCCCTCTCCTTCTATCACCCTTACATTCCAGCATCTTACCTTCATATGCAGTAAAAGAAAGAAAGAAAAAAAAAGGAAAAAAAAAAAAAAAACCCCACAATGTTTTGCAGTTTTTTTCATTGCCAAAAACTAAATGGTGCTTTATATTTAGATTGGAAAGAATTTCATATGCAAAGCATATTAAAGAGAAAGCCCGCTTTAGTCAATACTTTTTTGTAAATGGCAATGCAGAATATTTTGTTATTGGCCTTTTCTATTCCTGTAATGAAAGCTGTTTGTCATAACTTGAAATTTTATCTTTTACTATGGGAGTCACTATTTATTATTGCTTATGTGCCCTGTTCAAAACAGAGGCACTTAATTTGATCTTTTATTTTTCTTTGTTTTTATTATTATTTTTTTTTATTTGGATGACCAAAGGTCATTACAACCTGGCTTTTTATTGTATTTGTTTCTGGTCTTTGTTAAGTTCTATTGGAAAAACCACTGTCTGTGTTTTTTTTGGCAGTTGTCTGCATTAACCTGTTCATACACCCATTTTGTCCCTTTATTGAAAAAAATAAAAAAAAAATTAAAGTACACAATGTAAGCTTCTTGTGTCCTCATTTGACACACTCTGTAAATTACTTTCAAGAAAATAACAAGTTTTAAGAGAAGGCCAGTCAGTCTTTTTCAGGATTATTTCTATGGGCATTTTGATGCATGTATTATACCCTAAAGGAACATAAAATACTTACTATATTAAAATAGATATATCTCAAACTATGGAAATAGTTTTTAGACTTTATAGTTCTAGATTAATTTTCAAGAAACGGAAGGTGTTTTCAGTCTGATATTAAAAACTTGCAGTAATCCATTCAGATATAAAGAAAAAAAAAACATAATAGTAATAGCATCTTAAGCTTTGATTTCCTTTAGATTTTTTTTGTTGCTATTCTTATTGTCTAAAAGTTCTCTTCTATTCTCTCATTCTCATCCTACCTTAGAGCATAATGTAAACAAGTTTATAATGTTATTTTTTTTAAAAAAAGGAATCAGCTTTTTTGTCCCCACATAAAGTCTTTCCTTGTGTCAAAAATGAACACCCTCTCCCAAATCTAAAAATCCAGAAATGAAGGCATCAGGGGAAAAAGAGAGAGAGAAAAAAGAATGAAAGCAGTAACCAGATGTGGCCAAATCTGTGGAATCAGCCACTGATTTTCTGAGATGTGTGGTGGTTTGCCTTGTGATTCTGAGATCCACCATTAATTCTGCCAGGACGCAAAACTGGCAGAATTAATGGTGGATACTGTATACTTGTATGTTCAGATTCCTTAAATCAAATGGCAGATAGGGAGGGGATGCAAACATCTGGTGATAAATCACAGACTGTGTTTGAGTCACATGATCCCAAAGTGAAATAAATTTGTGGGGAGACAGGTTCTTCAGGGTTCTTAGTCTCCTGACTTATCAAGGCCCTCTTCTAAAAAACTATTTCTGAAGCTGAACAGGACAGATCTCCTAGGCATTTTTATAGGGTCTTCTTGGTTGTTGCAAGTTAGGGTGGGAATGCCTCTCAATTAATTATCTTTTGGTCAATCCACAGATTTATGAAACGAAACATCATCTTGGAACAGCAAGTTAGGTCTATTTTTCAGGTACCCTGGCCCCTTAGAAATCTGTGTTGTCAGTCTTACAAATACTGCCTGATGCAGCATCTATTTGCTTTATTACAACACACATTTCTGTGATACCGTCCCCCCATTTCCAGTGTAGACAAATGGGCACAATGTTGTTTTTATTCTTGTAAAAACCAAAGCAAGCTGTTCTGTTGTCTTCTGTGTAGCATTTTTTTCTGTGGCTCAGTTCTGATGCCAGGGTGCCTGCGAGGTGGCCTTTCATGTAAAGCCTTTTATAGGAGGCAAGAGCAGTCTTATCTTTCTAAATAAAGAGAAACTAGTAGGGTGTTTGTTTTTTAAAAGCCTGTTTGGGTGGGAAGCGGAGAGTGGAGAAGTCTAGTAAGAGGGGATCTGGGAGAGCTGGGATGGGGTGGGATGGGGCAGGGCTGGTGGCTTGTAGAACTTGATAATTGGCAATGAGCAAAGGGCAGATATATGTGTTTTAGATTAGGTTACTTCACGACTGAATCCAGAATGCTGTTTGAGACAGAACTAACTATTCCCCAGCTCCAGGACAGTTTTTAGACATGGTGGCTTCTGCTCCACCATATTAAATGTCTTTAAAACCGCTGTGTGTCCCTATTACTATTTTATTGGGAGCGATGAGTGCAGCTGTGCACGTTTTATATACAGTATTTATATTAATTTCTCAGTATATGAGGCTTTTAGTGTAATTAGGTTTTGCGTCCTGGCAGAATTAATGGTGGATACTGTATACTTGTATGTTCAGGTTTCTTAAATCAAATGGCAGATAGGGAGGGGATGCAAACATCTGGTGATAAATCACAGACTGTGTTTGAGTCACATGATCCCAAAGTGAAATAAATTTGTCGGGAGACAGGTTCTTCAGGGTTTTTAGTCTCCTGACTTATCAAGGCCCTCTTCTAAAAAACCATTTCTGAAGCTGAACAAACAACAGAAGCATGAAAACCTAGACAATAAGAATATAATTTATAAGTGGCATCTTTTATCCAGAACCCTAAAGTTAAAAATATCAATGCAAAATAACCAAAAAATCCCCCACATTTTCAACAGTCAGACGAATTCATGATATCCTTTTTCAAATGAGAGAATACTATGAACATTGACATTTTTCAAAAATTTCAAATAACGTTGTATGACATTCCCAATGTGCTGATGCAATGTTCTCTATATACCTGAACTGCCACTGATAAAGAAGGGCCCTTTTTAATCTTCCATTTTGAGAACAACTTAATAAACAGGAATAAACAGCAGGTGTTATTTCTCACAGACTTTAACCCAGAAACTCAATACAAGGACTATCTTCATCCCGAGACCATTTATTAGTGTCTGTTTAGGACCTCCAGGACTGACGAGCCCATTTTAACATTTGCTAAGAAGTGAGGTTTACACTTGTTTCTTCGTTTGTAGCAGCCATGGCAGAAAGTGTGAAGTAATCCCAGGGCATTCTGTGACAGAGCTGTTTATTTAAATACCACTTTTGTATATGCAATAAGTACATACTGTATATATTCATAATGCTAGAAGTGAGAATTTGAAAGGAAGTGGCAGTGAGGGTTAGCTATTTCATTTATAGAAATAAGGAAATGAGGTGGCTTATTCATAGGTATTCCCAAGTTTGGGGAAAGGTACTGGGATATTTCAAGCCTTCCTGAAAAGATCCCATCCTCTCCTGTTTCAAACGCTTTACTCTTGGAGAGTGAGGGAGGAAATACGGGTTTTCTGTTTTTAAACCCTTCCCCCACTCCCTATACACACACACACACACACACACACACACACACACACACACACACGATTTCTTATGACTGTGCTGTAATCCTGTCTTCTTCATGATGATGCTGTTACTCTGTTGTCCCCGCAGCTAATGTGCTCAAGAATGTATCCATCCCATTCTCTCTTGTTCTTTTTTGTTTTTTGTTTTCATCTTCCCCAGAAAACTTCCCTTTTAAGAAAGAAAAATTGTGGGAATGTTACTGAGATGAGGATGGAATTGGCAGTGTTCTTTAAACTGCTTGGAAAAAAAAAATGTTTATTTGAAAGACTGTTAACTTTCAAAAGGCACAAGCCACTTAGCAAATGTCCTAAGTGTCTCCTAAGGCCCTGAAGCTCCCGATTACAAACAAATGAACTCATATTTAGAGAAATGGACATCAGAACACATAGGCAGAATGGGATTACATACATTTATTCCAGGGCTGTGACAGCTACAGACTGTAGACATGGGTTGTTGGGTATCACTTTTTTTCTTTTTCTGTCATCTTGTTATCTCATTAGCCCACTGTTTCACTTAGCAAAACACATGGCCAGTGAATCAGCCTTTAGGGGGATGGGCCTGTTTCTCTCTCTCTCTCTCTCTCTCTCTCTCTCTCTCTTTCTCTCTGTGTGTCATCTATAGTCATAGGATGTGATTAATTCTCCTTTTCAAATGGAAAAGAAAACTAATACACTTCATGTGGGTTATTGTATTCCAACCCTAAACGCAATGCAGTGGTTGGTCCAAATACTGGTTTTCCTTCCTGTAAAGTGGCAAAGACTACTTAAAGAGAGCAAATATCAGGTCTTTATCAAACAGCAGAAAAGGCAATCTAAAAATTTCTCTAAAGTCTATCCTTTAAACTTACAGGGAGTCCCAGCCTACAGGGGGCTGTGCTTTTACGTAACAGTGAGCGTGGTGCATGCCCATGCTATGCTTTGTCTGTTAGGGTTTTAAATATCGGTAGCAGGTCTGACAAAGGGGTTTGATGGGGGCCTCAACGACAATGACTTAGGGCTGGACTGGGAACCGGATTCCCAGAGCCCACCTGGACACAGCAGGCCCCTCAGCCCAGGTCTCCACCACTCAGGATTCCTGTGAGCAGCTGAGCTCCAGACCCTGAGCCTCCTGCGGAGCCAAGTCAGGGGAGAGGAGGCCCCAGGCCCCTGCTTCAGGTCGCCATGGCAACGAGGCCTGGAATGCCACAGTGGTAGCCCTCTTCCTCAGCACATCCACACCCGGACTCCCAGTTCTGCTGCTTCAAGTCAATGTATACAGCAAGGGAGGAACCCCGGAGGAAAATAACTCCCATCTTCCCTTCACCATTGCCTTTCCCCCCTTAACAAAGGGAAAAAAAAAAAAAGAAAGAAAGAAAGAAAAGAAAAGAAAGAAAAGAAAACTGCATGTTTGAAAGAAACTACAGGCAGTTTTTGGTGCAATTTGGGAGCAACTGTGTTGGGTTCTGGCTTTCCTCTTCAGAGATTTGTTCGCCTCTTGTAACTCGTTGGCTGCTTTGACGTTGAACTTGATGACATTTCATGTTTTCGTTGTGCTGCTTTTACATCAATTTTGATTTTTCAGTTTCTTTATTAATTTTATTATTATTTTAAGGAAATGTCCCCCTTCCCTCCTTCCTCCCCTGTTCTCCTCAACCAAAGGACTGTTTCCCACTCAAGTTTTCTCAGTCACAAGGGAAAGTGTTTCCTTCCAGGTGTGTCCCCAGGGTAGTAGGACTTCCATATGATTGGGTAGAGGGCCTGGGTCCTTTGGGGGAAGGCACGGAATTGAGCTCATGGGAAAGGCACTTGGAGTAGAGATTGGGGGCGGGGAGGAGGGGGATGGAGTTTGAAATCATGTTTAAGATGCCAGTGGCTCCACCTGTGGCTGGTTTAAGTTATGAGTGTGAAAAGCGAGGTAGAGAACAGAAAAATCGCTGGGCCAAGTCACACCTGTACCTTTTTTTCTCCCCCCCCCTCCTCTGTCTCCATCCTCCTTCTAGGTTCTTCACACACCCCCATTCGGCGTAGTGCCCCGAGAGCTCAAGATGTGTGGCAGTTTTCGGATGGAAGCTCGCGAGCCCTTAAGTTCTGAGAAAATTTGAAGCCCCCAGGGGCGGGGTGGACGCGTGCCGCCCGGCGACATCTGCGTGGTCTGTCGTCCTGCTAGTGTGTGGTGTTTTCTGACAGTAGCCTCCGAGAAGCCGTGTGCGAAGACAGAGTCCTCCTGCAGAGGCCTTCTTCCTGCCTGGGCCTGCAGCGCCATTTTATTTATATTTTTTAATAAAAAGCAAAAGCAAAAAAAACAGACCCACCTTGGAATAGTGAATCAGTCCCCCATAGAGAGGGCCCTCGGACCCACGCTGCCCCAGTGACGTCCTGGCCCTTTTGAAACCAGCCAACCCAACTCCCCATCTTGTGGAAATGAGCATGAGCCCCCCGACCCCTTGTTTCTATACATTCTTTGTTGTCTTTTAAAAAGTGTGCTTAACATGGACACCAATAAATGTTGGAGCTTTAGGTGGTGTTTTCTTTTTCTTTGATTATTAATGTTGACAAGACAAGGCAGCTGCTGATAACTTTGTATTTCTGTATGCCCATTTCCTGCAGACACCCCTTGGGTGGGCAGGAAGGACAGACTTGAGGAATGGGTAGGAGGCGTACGAGGGGAAATAGGTTACTGCATATTGGATGGCATAAATTTTCAAGGAGAGGCGACATGCAAAACCTGGGGATAAATCATAGCGATATCATAATTAATGTAGTAGTAGTAGTAGTAGTATTGCTGTTTATTAATGCTGAAGTGTGGTTTTCCTAACTGTCTGACTTATAATTTGCATACCATTAAATAATGCATAATATGGCACGCTGAATTCTGTTTTTCAAATATATGCTTTTGGTGGCTACCATGCAGGATTTGAATTTGTCTTTTAATTTAGCTCAAGAAAGATAACGTCACTGGGTTAGTGGTAAATCACAAGGAAGGTGGCAAATGTCACGTGTTGCTTATTAGATATTCTTGTTTTAGGTTCCCAAACCTTTGGCAAATATATCTTAATGCAGACAAGCAAACACACATAAAACTTCTTTATTACTTATATCAAGAAATTTAGAACAGATTTTATAAGGGGGGAAATTTTAGGAGGAAAGAGCACACTACTGTAATGATAGTAATGCCCCATTACTTAGAAATCAGTGACACAAATAAGTTATGTTTGCGGACAGGTGATAAAGACTCCTTTTGGCCCAGTTAATTTGAAAAAGAATTTTTTTTCAATGTGGTGTTTTCCATTGCCTAGAGATCCAGAAGAGAACTAGAAACCATATAGCATATTGAAATAGGTTTATAAATAATAAAACCCGTGTGTTGTAGATTTACATATTGTCTGTGCATGTGTGTGTATGTGGGAAATCATACCCACTCACCCCCTGGCTAGATTACCTCACCTTGTGAGAAGATAACAACATTACTGGCAACCGGATTCTTTTCCGCTTATTTATTCACCATAAATAGTGACTCCTTTCAGTATACTTTCTGTAGTGCTTTCATGTACATTGTTTCATCTTACCCTCATTGGGACCAATCTCACAACCTCCACTTCCGGATGAGGAGGGTGAGGCTCCCCCAGGGTAAGGGGCTTGCCTGAGACCAGGTCAATAAGGGGAGGGAGAGCCCAGCAGCCAGGCGTTCTGAGATTGAGTTCAGAACTGATTTCATTCAACTCTGTAACTGGTCAAAAGGAATGTCCCTCCCTGTGCTGTTAGCACACATGCCATGCGTGTTCATCCGCCCACATGTATGGCTCACGCGCACACATACACATCACATCAAGGATGTCCATTGGTAAGGGCATGCGCAGTTGTCTCTTCTGGCCAACAGCTGTGTGCACCGCAGGAGCAAGGTTCCCTCCTTGCCATCTTTCCCCAGTGACGTCTCCAAGACAAAAAAAAAATACCCTGACTGACTGGGTGGCCTGGCTGCGTTTCTGAGATGTCTTCACGCCTAGGTGACATCGTACTTCCAGACAAATTGTTTTGTGGAGAAACACTCTCCCTGCCCCCTGAGCTGCCTGGGCTGTTGACACTGAAGGCCAGTAGGGATTTTGTGACAACATCCTTCCAGAATGTGCTAAGGTCCTTGCTGATAACTAGAGTGACGGCACTTTAAGAGGGGGACCTGACTGAAACAACAAACAGGGGTTTTTGGACAACTTCAGCTTGGTAACCACACTCGGTGTTCACTGCACTTTCATTTCTTATTTTCTCTCAGACACAGTTTGTAAATAAATAGGTATCTCTCAAAGTGGGATTTTAGAGGGGATGGGAGGGGGGGAGGAGAGAGGGAGTAGGTAAAGGATTTTTTCCTCTCCCCCTTTTGGAGAAAAAAGGTATGAAGAAAAGGATGGCCCTTTTTTTTTAAGAAAAAAAAAAGGGGGGGGGGCATCCTTTTCCTCATACCTTTTTTAATTGAAAGAAAAAGATTCATTTATGAAAATGAATAATGATGATGTACTAGGGCTAAGACTTTTGAAAACCCACACAGGATTGATGATCACTGAAGACATCTCCCTGTGTGATTCGTCAAGGTCACGGCCATCCGCAGATGATCGGAGCAGCAGAAGGGGCTGACAAATCTGGTTGGGGTTCTCACTGAGCCCTCTCCTGAGACTAGAACTCACATTGCAGAGAGATTAACTGTTGACCCAGCATGCACCGAGCTCAGATTTGAGGACACAGCCCAGGGTGCTCAAGGGGGTGGGGATCAAATACAGGATATGGCTCTTCCCCTACCAAGCCTGGTCTATGAACATTAATTCTGTGGTCACACTAAACACAAAGGTCTGTTAGATTTCTGGGTGCATGATGACTGAGGCTCAGTAGCTTCTGCAGCACCTAGCACCCAGCTTTTTGAATATAAATGATTGCACTCTAAACTAGTGGTCATTAAAAAAAAAAAAAAAAAAGAACAAAAAACCAAAACAAAACAAACAAATAAACAAACAACAAAACAGGCAAGGAGAGCTAACTTGAATTTTACCAAGGCCTAATTGGGGGACCCCAATCTTAATGCTTCCTGGGCACTTTTGCTTGGTGTTTTCAAGAGCATTTGCATTGGATGAGCCTAGCCTCTCCAGGGGTGAGGAGTATCTTTCAAGATGTGTGTCCTGACATGGTTTTCTTGTTTTGAGGACTAGACAGTGAGGTTAATGTTGAGAAAGATAATTATTAACATGAACCCATATTTTCCCTCAGTACTAATGTTTATTACTATCAAGAATTCTTATTTTACAAATCAATGTCCCAGAAAGAAGTGGCAGAGAGGATTGTATTTGGTGGCTATCGTTTCTCTTCTTACATGTCTCATAGCTTTTGGCTCCTTTTGGAGTATAATGGGAGGGAACAGATTTGAGGACTTGATAGGTTGGCTGTGAAGTCCATATGAAGTTCAGCTGGAAGTTCAAAAACAACAAACTGCAAGGATCCATCCTGATTCCGTTCTTAACCAACAACTCCCCAAGAAAGACAGCACTCTTCAGTTTGTATGCCCCCAGGGGTCTATTAAGCCAAAGAACTTCTCACTTCCAGCAAAATCCAGAGAGGAATAACTGCTTTCCATCCCATCTTGGTAGAAATTAACATACTCCTTGTTAGTCACATTCTCTTTCCCCTTGCTTTATATTTTTAAAAATGCTCCCAGGAAATGTTGAAGATTTATAGAGTACTTTTATAGACAGGATAGAACCAAGCCTAGAAATTCAGTAGGACCAGAACAGACGAAAGCTGCAAGGAGCTACCCCAATCATGCTTTATACAAATCAGGGCAACAGATGAGGTGAAGGACCTCATCTGAAGGACCTTGGAAGAAAAAAAAAAAAAGTGAGAGCCAAGCTTGAAACCACACAGTTAATGGCTGAGCCAGGACTGGAACTCCAGCCTCCAGCTCCTGTGCAAAGGAATTCTCACTGCAAATCTCTCCCTAGCGGCCTAGGGAGTTTAGCAGCAGGAAAGGCAGAAGAGTGTGCGTGACGGAAGGATTTAAGAATGAAATCAAAAGCTTGTTTGGGTGCCAGGCCTAGCAGGGAGCATGTAAGCATGGCGCACATTTCAAAGGTTTCTAAGCAGCATCCTGATGACAGGTCACTACGAGGAAGGATTCCTCCTTTAGTTCACCTCTCTGAGGGTAGAAATAAACTTAGGGACCAACCCTTGCAGGGAGACAGCCTTTACAGTTAAAAAGGCGTAAGAAGCCAAAACTGATTTGGCTCAGTAGATAGAGTTTCGGCCTGCGGACTGAAAGGTCCCGGGTTCGATTCCGGTCAAGGGCATGTACCTTGGTTGCGGGCACATCCCTAGTAGGGTGTGTGTAAGAGGCAGCTGATCGATGATTCTCTCTCATCGATATTTCTAACTATCTCTCTCTTCCTCTCTGTAAAAAAAAAAAAAAAAAAAAAAATCAATAAAAAATATATTAAAAAAAAAAAGGCGTAAGAAAACTCTAAATGCATTTTAAATGATTTAAATAGATGGCACAAGACCACAGTCATGTTACTAGGGGTTTAATGTTGAGTTCCAAGGTGGGGAAGGAGCAGGGAACTAATGGGAAGGGTGATGGACATGGTCTACAACTCGATTGTGAGGATTATTCCATTTCACATCCCATTCCAGGCTGCACAGTCTTTTTCTGTGCAAGATTCTTACTCGTTTTCCCTCTTGATCAGGGGTCCCCGGCTCTGTGTTTAGAGATGTACAAACTTGATTTTATTAGAGCTGCTATGTTCAGCTCTTCGGCTGCCATTTCCTTTCTTGCCAGCCATCCTTTGATTCACACACACTTTTTTTTGAATGAACACGGGCTGACTTTCCCTGTCTTGGGGCCGGACAGGGCGGCAGTTGCTGTAGGGAGCAGCTGTTAGGAGCCTGGAGGGGCAAAGTCATCCCTGAAATAGGAGCATGACTGGAGGAAGTCTCCCAGAGCAGCCGAGAATCAAACATTCCCTTCAAGGGGGATAGAGGGTCATTAGGCTGATTTCCCCCCTATTGATAATTCCCTGAATTTCCTGAGACAGTGATGCAAACAGGCAGTATCTGCTGGCA